AGCCTGTAATCCCAGCACTTTGGGAAGCCAAAGCGAGTGGATTGCCTGAGCCTGCAGGTTCAAGACCAGACGGGACAACTTGGCAAGACCTCGTCTCTACAACAAATAAAAAATTAGTCGGGCATGGTAGCACACGCCTGTAGTTCCGGCTCCTTGGAAAATTGAGATAGAAGGATCGCCAGAACCCAACAGGGTGACGCTGGGGTGGCCGTGAGTGTGCCACTACACTCCAACCTGAGTGACGGATTGAGACTCCGACTCAAAAAAAAATTTTTTTTTTTAAAGTAGGAAAAAATGTCACAGATCTCCATACAATGGTTATTCTGAGGAATGTGGCCCACTTGCCTTTACCATTTATTTAAAGTATCTTAAAAAATAAGAAAAATGGCCAACATAGTGACTCACGCCTGTAATCCCAATACTTTGAGAGGCTGAGGTGAAAGGATTGCTTAAGACCAAGAGTTCAAGATCAGCCTGGGCAACATATCAAGACTTTGTCTCTACAAAGAAAAATAAAAAATTAGCTGAGCACAGTGGCTTATACCTGAAATCCTACCAATTTGGGAGGCAGAGGCAAGAGGATTGCCTGAGCTCAGGGGTTCGAGATCAGCCTGAGCAACGTGGTGAGACTTTCTCTCTACATTAAATCATAAAATTAGCCGGGCATGGTGGTGGACGCTTGTGATTCCAGCTACTTGGAAGGCTAAGACAGAAGGATCGCCTGAGCCCAGCAGGTTGAGGCTGCGGTGGCCGTGAGCATGCCATTGCACTGCAAGCCTGGGCGACAGAGTAAGACTGACTCAAAAAAAAAAAAAAATTAGCTGGCATAGTGGTACACACCTCTAGTCCCAGCTTCTTGGGAGGCTGATGCAGAAGGATGCCCTGAGCCCAGGAAGCCAAGGCTTCAGTGAGCCATGATCATGCCACAGCACTCCGGCCTGGGTGACAGAGTGAGACTCTGATTCAAAAACAAAAAAAGGAAAAGGAAGATAAGGTTATTACCCTCAGCGACAAAATTCCTTGAGCCAGCTCCGGCAACTGTGCCACAAACGATCATTTCCCAGTATTGACTTCACTCCTCGCTCTCAGTACCCCAGAGGATCCCACCCTTGATCTGGTCTGTGGCTCTACCTCAATCCTGAACTTTCAGATTTCACCAAGTACCTCATGACAGAGCAAGTTCACTACTAATGAGTGGGTGGGAAATGATCTGGTGATGAGGGAAGAGGGAGAGTTACAACTAAAATCAACTGCAGAAATATCCTTTAGGCCGGGCGCGGTGGCTCACGTCTATAATCCCAGCACTTTGGGAGGCTGAAGTAAGAGGATTGCCTGAGCCCAGGAGTTCAAGACCAGCCTGGACAACTTGGTAAGACCTCATCTCTACAATTAAAAAAACAATTAGCCGGGCATGTAGGTGCACACTTGTAGTTCCAACTACTTGGAAGGCTGTGGCAGAAGGATCACCTGAGCCCAATGGGTGGAGGCTGTGGTGGCCGTGAGAGTGCCACTGTACTCTAGTCTGGACAACAGAATGAGACCCCGACTCACAAAAAAAACAAACCAAAAAACAAAAGAAGAAGGGAAAAATTGTCAGATTTATCCTGCGCACATCCATACCATGACCAGGACAGTCATAATTCCTGCTACATTAACTCTAAGTGGGGTACCTGATACAAACACATAGTCCCAAATCTCATCTCAGATCATTGAATTAGAAACTGGGGAAAAAGGAGGGAATGAGGCCTAGGAATTGGCATTTTAAACATGTAAACCACTTTGAATGAATGTCAGCACAATTGACATATATAATACTCTGGACACCTAGTTTGCAAGGTGAAATAAAATACCTATAGCGCTACTGCACTCTAGGAACCTATTCGGGCAAATGCCTTCCCTAAAGAAGCTCTACTGCATTCAAGACAGAGAGATGAGGTTAGTTTTAATTGGCCACTAAGGTGAAGAAGGTGTAATTTCAGTTAGACAGGATGAATAAGTACAAGAGATCTAGTGTATATCATGGTTACTACATTCAGTAACAATATATTGTATACTTGAAATTTGCATACAATAAGTATGCAATAAGTGTTGTCATCACAAAAATGATAAGTATTTGATATGATGCATACGTTAAATAGTGTGATTTAGCTATTCTACAATGTATACATATATCAAAACATCATGCTGTATACCATAAATAGATACAACTTTTGGTTGTCAATTAAAAAATTGAGGCTAGGCACAGTGGCTCACACCAGTAATCCCAATGCTTTGGGAGGTTGAGGCGGGAGGATTGCTTCAGCCCAGGAGTCTGAGACCAGACTGGGGAACATAGTGAGATCCCATCTCAAAAACAAACAAAAAATAGCTGGGTATAGTCCCAGCTACTCAAGAGGCGGAGGCAGAAAGATTCCCTGAGCCCAGGAGGTCAATTCTGTGGTGAGCTGTGATCAAGCCATTGCACTTCAGCTTGGGCAACAGAGTGAGACCCCAACTCAAAAAAAAAAAAAAATTAAGAAAATTGAGGTGAATTGAGGTGAAGAGCAAAATATTGAAGTTCCAGTGTATGATGCAAGATTCAAAGGTCAGGTTGGGTGCGGTGGCTCAAGCCTATAATCCCAGCAATTTGGGAAACCAAGGCAAGAGGATTGCCTGAACCCACGGGTTTGAGACCAGCCTGGGCAACATGGTGAGACCGCATCTCTACAATAAATTAAAAAATTAGCTGGGCATTGTGGTGCATGCCTGTAGTTCTAGCTATTTGGAAGGCTGAGGCAGAAGGATTGCCTGAGCCCAGCAGGTCGAGGTTGTGGTAGCCGTGAGTGTGCCACTACACTCCAGCCTGGGCAACAGTGAGACTCCAACACACACATACACACAAAAAAGATTCAAAGATCAGTTGCTTAGATGATGAAGAGATATTGAACATTAACCTAATAATCAGATCAAAGATACCAGATGATTTTCCTCTAACCAATCTGTCTTCATCTTCTACTTGGCGAGGAAGAATAAAGATACAATAATTTTAGAGCAAAAGCCTAGTACTACAAACTAGTCTCTTGCACATGAGCATGCAACAGATGTTCCAAAAACTGATATTCGTGACTGCTAACCCATTAAAAACACCAGCAACATGAAACTAGATTCACCCAAGAGTTTAAAACTCTGAAATTAAAGTTAACAGGCAGGCCGGGCGCAGTGGCTCATACCTATAATCCCAGCACTTTGGGAGGCTATGAGAGGATTGCCTGAGCTCACAGGTTCGAGACCAGCCTTGGCAACTTGGAGAGACCTCATCTTTACACCAAAAAAAAAAAAAAAAAAGGTAGCTGGGCATGGTGATGCTTGCCTATGGTTCCAGCTACTTGGAAGGTTGAGGCAGAAGGATCACCTGAGCCCAGCAGGTCGAGGCTGCGGTGGCCGTGAGCGGGCAACTGCACTCCAGCCTAGGCAACAGAGTGAGACTCCAACTCAAAAAAAAAAGAAAGTTAACAGGCTAGCTATGTCAAGGAGACACACAATAAATGCCAACTGTCATCCAATACCACAAACTAACCGCCTCCTTCTCCCAAGCAGCTCAGGGTTAGACCCCTACACCTGCTTACACAAAAGTCTTGCGATGGCCCTGGAAATGCTTCTTCGGGTTCACTTGAGGAGCTGGGAGATCTTGGTACTTTTCTTTTTCCATAGTCTGGCCTCTGCAATGAGCTAGATTCCCACACACTTACAACCAAGGAATAGAAAAGACAAGCCCTTCTGGCCGGGCGTGGTGGCTCATGTCTATAATAACAGCATTTTGGCAGGCCCAGACAGGAGAATCACTTGAGGCCAGGAGTTGGAGACCAGCCTGTACAACATAGTGGGACCCTGTCTCTAAAAAAAATTTAAAAACTAGCTGGGCACGGTAGCTCACGCCTGTAATTCCAGCACTTTGGGAGGTGGAGGCAAGAGGATTGCCTGAGCAAACCCAGTTGCCCAGGCTGGGATTTGAGACCAGCCTGGGCAACTTAGCGAGACTTCGTCTCTACAATAAATAAAGAAAATTAGCCAGGTGTGGTGGCCCACGCCTGTACTTCCAGTTACTTAGAAGGCTGAGGCGGAAGGATCACCTGAGCCCAGCAGTCGAGGCTGCAGTGGCTGGGAGCATGCCACTGCACTCCAGCCTGGGTGACAGAGTGAGTCTCTACCTCAATAAACAAACAAATAAACATGCTGAGCGTGGTCACGGTGGCCAGCCTGTAGACCCAACAAATCCAAAGCCTGAGGAGGAAGGACTGCCTGAACCCAGAAGTTCAAGGCTGCAGTGAGCTAGGATCAGACTACTGCACTCAAGCCTGGGTGGAAGAACAAGATCCTGACTCAAATAATAAATAAATAAACAAATAAGAAAAAACAAGCCAGGTGCGGTGGCTCATGCCCATAATACCAGCACTTTGGGAGGCCAGGACAAGAGGATTGCCTGAGCCCAGAGGTTCAAGACCAGCATGGACAACTTGGTGAGACTCTGTCTCCATGATAAATCAAAAAATTACCGGGCATGGTGGTGTGCTCCTGTAGTTCCAGCTACTTGGAAGGCTGAGGCAGGATTGCCTGAGCCCAGCGGGTAGAGGCTGTGGTGACTGTGAGCGTGCCATTGCACTCCAGCCTGGGCGACAGAGTGAGACTCCAACAACCCCCCTCCCCCCCCAAAAGAAAGAAAAGGCAATCATTCCAAAACCAGGTGCAAACTAGCAAGATAGGAAGGCCACCCAAGCGTGAACCTCAAGGATCCCCAGCTCCAGAGGACGAACAGAAGGGTGGCCCCGACACCGACAGCACCCACGCCGGCCTCTGATGCACCCTCACCTCCCCTTCCTCCCTAGGGCCGCGCATCCACAGGCCGGCGGCTGCTCCCCTGACCTCGACAACCCTTCCAACAGCACCCCACCGCAGGTCAGACACCCCACTTCTGCGTCCCAGCCCCCAGCCCCCGGCCCCACCGCCCGGGTCCCAGCCCTGACCTGAGGGCCGCGCCAGGCAGCCCCGAGGCTCCCGGTTCGCGGGCTTCCTCGGCCGGTAGCCATAGACTCCCCGCTCGGTCTGGTAGCCGCGCCGGAGGAGGAGGGGGGGGGCGCGGCCGAGGCCCCGTCTGGCTGCTGCCACAGTGGCCGAGGCCATGTCCAGCTTGGCCCGGTGGCCCGGAGACTGCAAAGGGCAAACAAGCCGCAGCAGCCGGGAAGAGGGTCGCGCCAGGACCTGGGAAGTCAGGAACGCACCGAGTGGGAAACCGGAGCTCCGCCCCGGGACAACGCCCCCGCTCCTGATTGGCCGAGGGGCCGGCCCCTCGGAGCCAATCCGTGGCAGCGACACGTGCGGCGAGGCCACGCCCCGACTCGGGGCGGGGCTTCGGGGCGGTCCTAGGGGTTGAAGCCTCTCCGCACGTGGGCAAAGGAAGAAAGTGTCCCTGGGCGTCACTAGCTTTCTGGGACGAACTGGATGCATCTGTAGAACCTGCAGTCTGCCCCCAGGAGCATTCGCCCGTCACCTTCTGCTGGAAGAACCCCACCCAACCGCACAGACGCTGCCTGGGTTCTCGTACAGGAAGGACAAATTAGCTACAGGGTGGCTAGAAAGTGGCGGGGACTAAGACTTAGGGACACGAAAAGAAAAAATTATTTGGGGGAGCTAGATAATCAATATCCTAATTTATTTTTATTTTATTTCCTTTTTTTGGAGTTGGCATCTCTCTGTCGTCCAGGTTGGAGTGCAGTGGGACGCTCCCGGCCACTGCAGCCTCGGCCTGCTGGACTCAGGTGATTCTCCCGTCTCAGCCTTCCACAGGCGTGCGCCACCACATCCGGCTAATTTTATGATTTATTGTAGAGGCAAGATGTCACCGTGTTGCTCAGGCTGGTCTCAAACGCGTGAGATCAGGCAATCCTCTCGCCTCTGCCTTCCAAAGTACTGGGGGCTGGGCTCAGTGGCTCAGGCTGTAATCCCAGCACTTTGGGAGGCCCGAGGTGAGCGGATCGCCTGAGCCTGCCGGTTCGAGACCAGCCCGGGCACCTTGGTGAGACCTCGTCTCTGCAAAAAATAAAAAAATTAACCGGGTGTGGCAGCACTTCCCTGTAGTTCCGGCTACTTGGAAGGCTGAGGCGGAAGGATCGCCAGAACCCAGCAGGTAGATGCTGGGGTGGCCGTGAGTGTGCCACTGCACTCGAGTCTGGGTGACAGAGTAACTACAACTCAAAAAAAAAAAAAAAGTGGTGGGATTACAGGCAAGAGCCACCGCACTTTGGGAGGCAGAGGCAGGAGGATTGCTTAGGACCAGGAGTTCAAGACCAGTCTGGACAATTTAGCAAGACCCTGTCTCTACAAAAAAATAGAAAAATTAGCTAGGCATGGTGGCATGTGTCTGTGTTTCCAGCTACTCAGGAGGCTGAGGCAGGAGGATTGCTTGAGTCAGTGCGAGGATGTGTGAGCCACGATTGTGCTACTACACTCCAGTCTGGGTGACTGAGTGAAATCTTGTCTCAAAACAAAACAAGACAAAGATTACATTGCCATGATTGAGACCCTGTCCTGTGCAGCCCTCTCACCTGTGTTCTGTTAAATTACTAGTTAACTCAACCAGCTTGATCTCTCTATCCTAGATTTCTACAGCACACAGAGACAGCCATTCTGTTTCTCTGGTCTCCCAAATGATACAGTCTTCATCCGTGAGAATGTGTGTTTAACTGTTCGCTTATATCTTTTTTTTTTTTTTTTTTTTTTTTAGTTGGGAGTCTCACTCTGTCACCCACGCTGGAGTGCAGTGGCACGCTCAGGGTCACCGCAGCCTCATCCTGCTGGGCTCAGCTGATCCTTCCACCTCAGGGTTCCAAGTAGCCAGAACTACAGGCACGCTACCACGCCTGGCTAGTTTTTGATTTATTGTAGAGACAAGGTCTCGCCAACTTGCCTGGGCTGGTCTTGAACACGCGGGCTCGGCCAATCCATTCGTCTTGGCCTCCCAAAGTGCTGGGATTATAGGCCTGAGCCACCGTGCCGGGCAAGGACGCTGTTTTTAAGAGCTTATAGTCTTGGGGGTAGATAACATATAAATAACTAATCATACAATAATTATGGCCTGGCATAGTGCCTCATGCCTGTAATCTCAGCACTTTGGGAGGCTGAGGCGGAAGGATTGCTTGAGTCCAGGAGTTTGAGACCAGCCTGGGAAACATAGCAAGACCACACCTCTACAAAAAAAATTTAAAAATCAGCCAGACGTGGCAGCATGCACCTGTAGTCCCAGCTACTCGGGAGGCCGAGGCAAAAAGATCGCCTGAGCCCAGGCGTTGGAGTCTGCGGTGAGCTCTGATGGCACCATTTCACTTCAGCCTGGGCAACAGAGTGAGACCCCAACTAAAAAAAAAAAAAAAATTGTAAATATGGCTCCTTTGGAAAATGTCCCTAAGATACACGACCCATCCCCCATTCTCTTTCTTGCTTTGCTTCTGGAGCGACCAAGTGATTGTTAAAGCTGTGGACTGAGATGAGGGACATGGCAAGAGAAACACACGTGGACAGCAGAGTTCACTTCTGCACATTTGAGCCACATGTGTGATATTAAGCAGATCTGTCTGCAAGGCTGGTGAATATATCTGTCTGGAGGTTAAAAAAAAAAAAAAGGGAAGGAGCATAGAAGTTAGTGAGATCCTGGGCGTGAATGAGAGGGTCCCGAGCCTGGAAAGCTGAGGGACTCAGAAGCCAAAGGCTGGCGGGGAGGGGGTTCCGGCATGGGCGAATGAAAAGCAGCTGGAGAATGCTGGGGAAACAAGGCTTTAGAAGAAAAAAATGTGGCTCTGAATTCTAGTTTTGCCAGTTCTTACTCATACAATCCAAGATTGCATCTTGGTCTCCATCTGTAAAACAGATAATGAGGAGGTCTGTCTTAGAGAAAACTAGCACAGGGTTGTGGCTTTTTTTTTTTTGAGACAGGATTTTGCTCTGTTTTTGGGATTGGGTCTTGCCCAGGTTGGAGTGCCTCACTCAGCACGATCGAAGCTCACTGCAGCCTCAAACTCCTGGGGCTAAGAGAGCATCCCAGGCCAGGCTCGGTGGCTCAGCCTGTCATCCCAGCACTTTGGGAGGCCGAGGCGAGTGGATTGCCTGAGCCCGTCGGTTCGAGACCAGTCTCAGCAACTTGGCGAGACCTCATCTCTACAATAAATAAAAAATTAGCTGAGCATAGTAATGTGCCTTGTAGTTCCAGCTACTAGGAAGGCTGAGGCGGAAGGATAACTGGAGCCCAGCATGTTGATGCTAGGGTGGCTGTGAGCGTGTCACTGCACTCCAGCCTGGATGACGGAGTGAGACTCCAACTCGGGAAAAAAAGAGATCATCCCACTTCAGCTTCCAGAGTAGCTGCAACTACAGGTGTAAGCCACTATATCTGGTTAATTTTTAAAATTTTTCAGTAGTGTTGGCATCTTGCTATGTTGCCCAGGCTGATAATTTCTTTTTTTTTTTTTTTGAGTTGGAGTCTCACTCTGTTGCCCAGGTTGGAGTAGAGTGGCACACTCACGACCACCACAGCCTCAACCTAGACCTGCTGGGCTCAGGTGATCCTTCTGCCTCAGCCTTTCCAAGTAGCTGGAACTACAGGGATGCACCAAAATGCCTGGATGATTTTTTGATTTATTGTAGAAACAAGGTCTCGCCATATTGCTCAGGTAACCCTCTTGCCTCTGCCTCTCAAAGTGCTGGGATTACAGGCATGAGCCACCGTACCTAGCATCCAGTCCACTATCAATGGTCTTTTTCTTTTTCTTTCTTTCTTTCTTTTTTTTTTTTTTGAGTCGAGGTCTGACTCTATCACCCAGGCTGGCGTGCAGTGGCACAATCATGGTTTATCACAGCCTCAACTTCCTGGGCTCAGGCAATCCTTCCACTTCAGCCTCCCGAGTACTTGGGACTATAAGTGTGTGCCTCCATGCCCAGCTAATTTTTTAATTTTTTGTAGAGATGAAATCTCGCTATGTTGCCCAGGGTGGTCTTGAACTCCTGGCCTCAAGCCATCCTCCCACCTCAGCCTCCCAAAGTGCTGAAGTGAGCCACACAGGCATGAGCCACTGTACCAGGTCTCTTGCTTTTGTATTATCATGGTTCTAGATTTAGCAACACACTGGTCTGACCTGGGCAGAAATTCTTGTTTTATTATTTTATATTGGTCTGCCTTGTTATAATAAAAGAGATTACCAAATCATGTCTTGTCTTATTCCATATTCTGTTGTGTGAATGGGGATATCTGTATTATTGTGTGTGTGGTACTCAGTTGTTTAAGGGAGATCACGTCCTAGAATGGAAGGGAATATCATATAAGACTGTGAACTTTGTCAGGCCGGGCACAGTGGCTCAAGCCTATAATCCCAATACTTTGGGAGGCCGAGGCGAGAGGATTGCCTGAGTCCAGAGGTTCAAGAGCAGCCTCGGCAACTTGTTGAGACCTCATCTGTACAGTAAATCACAAAAAACTAGCCGGGTGTGGTGACGTGAGTCTGTAGTTCCAGCTGCTTGGAAGGCTGAGAATCATCTGAGCCCAGCAAGTTGAGGCTGCGATGGCCAAGAGCATGCCACTGCACTCCACCCTGGGCGACAGAGTGAGACTCCAACTCAAAAAAAAAAGACTGTGAACTTTGTCATTAGACAGCCTGAGCTGAGATTCTGTTTAGCAGCTTTGTAATTCTGTGCACATCATTTAACACTAAGTCCGAGTTTCTCTATCTTCAAAAATAGGGAAAATGGGCCGGGTGCCATGGCTCACACCTGTAGTCCCAGCACTTTGTGGGGCCGAGGTAGAAGGATTGCGTTAGCCTAGGAGTTTGAGACCAGCCTGGGCAACACATTGAGACTCTGTCTTTACGAAAAGTTAAAACAAATTAGCCAGGGGTGATGTGCACCTGTAGACCTCTCTACTTGGGAGGCTGAGGCAGGAGGCTCACTTGAGCCCTGGAGGTTGAGGCTGTGGTGAGCCATGATCATGCTACTGCACTCCAGACTGGGCGACAGAGTGAGACCCTAACGAGAGAGAGAGAGAGAGAGAGAATAGTACCTACCTAACAGAGTCATTGGGTGGATTAACACAGACACCCAGTAAGATAGAGGCATTCATTTCTTTCACCATCCACCCCTTCATCCTCACAGTGTTAAAAAGTTGAATTAAC